ACGGACCCACCCTGGCAGCTACTTGATCTGCTTCAGCCATCACGTCCTCCCACGTGAGATTTGGATTCTGCAAACGAATCTGCCTGACGGAGCTCTTTTGACCTAGTCTCCGCCTTTTGGTAGGATGGTCGAACTCTGTCTCTTCGGCGGCAAACACATGAAATGAATGATTCCTTTGAATGAGGCTCTTTGCTACTTGTCTAGCAAACTTTCGGGGGTAAAGCTCAGTGAAGGCTGACATAGGTACGTTCTGACCGTTCACCTTCGTGGACCCTGCGATTTGATGGTAGTTGTGGTCGTGTCTGCAGAATCGGTTGTGCAACATGTTGTGCACATGCTTTGAGGTGGTCAGAACACTCATTCGTTTCCTGATGAATTCCTTGGTTTTGGGGTCTTTCAAGCCACCTACGAGACACATGTCGAACCTGCACTGCTGCGTTGCATGTTCCAATGCAACTATATTAGGATGTTGGAGAAAAAGTGACCCGTTCGGTTGCTCCAAATGGAAGTGTCTGTCGTTGTTCGACTGGTGTTCACACAGAACTACACATAATGCAATTTGCCATATGTTTTCGATACGTTCGGCGGCCACTTGAAGACAGTGCTCAAGCGAACGTTGCTCATTGAACAGGGACCATCGACACCATGGTCGACACTCAGGAGCTATCCACACGTGCTCTGGTTGTTCGATGATTAAATATGATTAAATGAGCAAACAGATTCTTTCTCCCGGACGTTGTGCTGAGGTCTCCCTGTTCTCGGCCAAATCGTCGTGCATGAACGTTCAGCTGAGTGCATTGCCTTGTCAACTCACTTTGGGATGAGCGCATGACTTCAAACGGTACACACCTTTTCTTCGTTTTAGGAGGTTGCAACACTATTTGGGCTTGTTTGAGTTCCTTAGGAAACTGCCTGATGAGACGGTTGCATTCGGCCATGTGTGTTTCTTGGTCGGTCATGTTAAAATCGAATTCTGCTTTTCCGAGTTGTTGGGAGGCAAAGCATTCGGCTTCCAGACTTGCTCTGGTCTCGGCATCTATCGAGCTCCTCCTTCACCAGCGTCCACTGCTGGGCGCTCACGGTCAGGTTCCGGAGGTGGAGGACAACTTCTTGGAGGGTCCCCTCCATCTGGTCCACGCGGCCCTGCAGAATGTGATCTTGTTGGCGGGGTCCGACTGGCTGTGTTGAGATGAGCTTGCATAGCCCTGTTGACTTGCCTTCATCGATGATGGGCATGCTTTGCTCTTCACTGCAGTCATGGGTGGTGCCTTGACTGGGACCGGTGGCTCGATGCATTCGGACTCCCATTGGTCCAGGTCCAGAGCTTGGATCTCCTGCTCGGTTCTGAGTTGGGGCATAGTCACGAACACGCGATGTTCCTTCTTGTCCGAGTCTCCGTATTTGGATGTCACGAACTTGGTCCAATGCCAGGTCGTTGAAGGCCTTTTCCTTGCCGAATTGGATCTTGTGGAGGGCCATCTGCTCCACCGGGAGAGTCAGGAATTCCTGAAGGTCCTTTTCCGTTTCCCCTTTCTCCATGGACTTCTGGAGTCGGGACAACTGAGCGGAGAGGTCGGAAGGCATGATGATCAACGGATTGGGCTTGAACGACTGGACTCGAGCTCTCGTTGCTGCTAGATGGCTGACCGGTGAGAGGGACATCAACTTCTTTCAAAGCAGCTTCGGTGGTTCGTGCCTCACGTGTGTTTTCTGGTTACTTAGATTACGTCTACCAATCACTACCGACTCGGCTTCCGATGAGTTGGCTGCTGCCGGAGAGTCATGTTTTGTTGACGTCGGCAACGAATTTTGGTCAGTCGGGTTTGACTGCTGTACCTGCCGGCTGGTGCATGAGTGCTCCTGCATCTGCAAAAATGACGACTCTTCGAGCGGTTGCCAAAACTGATTGATGTCTAGCAGAAATAGATTCTTCTTAGTAGATTCCATCTTCAGGTGTCGTTTCAGGGTCTAGCTCCACGACGTACCTTCTGAGGTATCGATCACTGCACCTAGCTGTTTTAGTAATTGGCTGGAGATCAAAAATGGGGTCTTGCCATGAACAACCGCAATTCGGAATCGAGCACGTTGCATCGGGATGAGCGCTGCAGTTCGGCTTTCCAGGGTTTGGTGGTTGCCAAAACGAAACAACAGGTTGCACGTGGTTTTTCTGACTTGCTTTCTTACTTCTTCTGGTAGTTGTTCTAGGAGTTCCTTCAACAGTTCATGACCTATAACTGTTTGTGAAGCTCCCAAGTCCACGACCCCGGTCGTGCCAGTGGATGCAAAAAACACTTGGCTCTCTTCGGCTGCGTTCGAAATGCCTGGGCTCAAGGTTTCCCTTTCGGAACCTTCGGCACGGATCTCACCTGGTGTGGAAGTCAAAAACGCCTTCCTGGACCGAAGTGCTGCGATGTCTCGTTTGGCGAGTTTGTTTTTCAACGTTTCCCCAAAAGACTTGGCCCTTTCATGAACAGTTCCAAAACACACATGATGGCTGTCCTCTTTCAAGTCTTCGTGCGTGGCTTCGGGGATCTCTTCAAGGTCGATCGCGACGGCGGCCGACGTCGGAATCTGAGGGCGGTCATCCGAAGGAGTTGCGGACTTTCTCATCGGGCACTCGGCTTTCCAGTGCCCTCTCTGGTTACAGACCCTGCAGTGGGATTCAGCTATGCGTTGTTGGAGAGTCTTGAAGCCCTTGCCCTTCGATGTCTTTCCCTTGACCCCCTTTTTGCCATAGCCCTTAGTGGACCCACCTTTGGAATTCCAAAAACCACGATTCTTTGTTTTCTCTTGAAGTCTCTTGCGAGCCTCCTGATAGCTTGAGTAGTAGGCTGACAATTGTGAATCTTCTTGAATCGTTTCGTTCACAGCGCTTTCGAACTGAAGCACCAATGCAGCATCTGGGTCCTCGGCGGCCAATTCAAAGTTGTCGCCCTCCCATTGCTCATCAGCATTGGTCCAGTAGAGGTCTTCTTCCTCTTCCAGCTGATCATATGTTTTCAACGTTTTGTCCTTCTTGCCGGTGGTGTACTCCTGAAAGAAAGCTGACCCTAGAAGCCTAATTGCAGAAGTGACTTTGCCCATGGTCAATGTTCCGCCACTTTCTGCTCCAGATTCTACCAAAACCCTCTTCTTGTCTTCGCTGGACAGATGACTGCCACGAAGGACCACGTAGGCCTGAATCTAGCTGAGCTTGACCTGTTTGGCCTCGATTTCAGTCCATGCGACGTCCATGCGAGTCTGCGGTTTCATCCGGCTTTTGTTGACATCGAAACACTGCTTTCTCCACCACCTCATACTTCTTCTCGAGATCAACTTGGCCAAATTGGCCGGACACAATCTCTACAATCCAAAATTCCTTCCTTAGTGCCAGTCGTGACTTCGTTCTGAAGAAGTTCAAGCTTCTGAAATGCCGATCCTTTGGTGTTCAAAATTATGCGGGTGGCCAATTCATTGAGCAAATTTTCAGGCCATGCACGGATCAACAATCGAATCTTCTGGCGCCACTGTTCAACACTGTCGACTCCCGGGTCGAAGGTGGGCGCAAGCTGTGCCAATTGGGATCCCACGGAGGTTGCCGTGGAATTTCCTTCAGAACCCGGCATGCTCTGCTAAGCTTCCCCAAGCAACAAAGTCCTGACAGGCCCCTACGGAGCGACTGGCTCCGCTACCAATCGCAAATGTGATTGGTAGATGGAACTCTTCCTTCTCAACCTGGACGACCACGTCCGTCAACAACAATGACCACTGTCAATGTAAAAGAACCCAGGTGCCCTGCACCACAATGTATACAACCCTCAAAAGTGCCGTGCACAATGAATGGTTTCCGCCCTTCCGTAGCCAATGCCCAGCCGCACGTTTTCCGGTGTACGGCACAGGCTCATGAACCCTCCCACCCACCTCTTGAGATGGTAGGTGGCGACGACGGCAAACTGGAATGCTTCATCATGTGACAGGGTATTCTTCGAACATTTACATATCTAGGCTCCAAGTCATTGAACGTGACGAATAGTGAGTGGTCATGGGAGTTCAACAATGCATGGGAGTTGCTCAATAGTCACGATCGCCAAAAACGTCAACAAAAAACGATTAACGTGATGAATGTGAAAAAAGCGGTCCAGACACAGCCGTAATTGGTGTATTGGTGTACTGGTGTATTTGAAGAACACCAATACACTCAACCTCCAACGCCACAACCCATTTTGACCTATTTGGACCTTCCCTCAGTAGGCATCGACCCGTCGTCGGACACCATCGGCTGCCAGGTGTCTCTTCCGCCCTCGCCCCACGCGGGGACGGAGCGGTCGCGCGCGCGGTCCGGGCTTCGGTGGAGCTGGCTGCGCCCGTGTCGAATCGTGAAGTGGCCACCTGGTTTGGGCAGCTCTTTCAGACGTGTGTCGCAGCTGGGATGAAGATGAAGCGGGGGTGTTCAGGCGGACGCCCTGTTTCCGCTTCAAGGGTTTCATGGATCGAAACGGATCCAGGAGTCTCTGTTGGGAGCGAAACTTCCGTCATTCCCGACTTTCCTCTCACCAGTCTGGAAATTTACAGTACCCTCTTTGAAATCATCATGAAGTGGATGGCATGGCCACTGGGAAGACGACTTTCCTTTACACAAAAAAGGGGCGAACTCACTTGCTATGCTTGTTGGCGGGAGGTCGTTGGCGGGAGTTCTTCCATTAAAAACATGTTCACCTCCCCCAGCGTTGGAAGCACACCACAAACACACGAAGCAGGTGTGAAGTCTGACTCATGTTGACTCAAGAAACCGGCAAATGGATGGTTTTCATGGATGGTAACCTCTGCTCCAACAGTGACTTGACATCCAATCCTGCAGGGTCTTGGATGCTACTAGGGGCTCCTGGCCTTACTACTAGGAACAAGAAGCTACAAACGGGGCTCCTGGCATCGCTACGGGACGGAGCGATCGGACGCTCCGCTTCAGGCCGATGCCCTCCAAATCTCCCCTCAGCGCATCGAACTCTTGGGCGTGGAGGGCTGCACCCTGGCCTTCGCGCTGCACCCGCAGGCCGAGCGTGGCGCCGCCTCGCGCCGCGCGGAGGCCGAGGCCTCGCCGGAAGCGGCGATGGAGGAGTTCTTTCAGCAGATGTCTTCCAGAGCTTCTCCCTTGTCTTATAGTGACCTGGTGCTGGCTTTTCTCCCCAAAAAAGGATACTTTTATTCCTTTTTCCACCCGAATCGCCGGTCAACACTTGGAGGTCCTTGGTTCCTGGCGACCGCGGCTGGTAATCCATTCCCTCAAAGTGACCTATTTTGACTGCCACATTGCCCTCCGAGTGGCTGTGACCTGGGACCCACAAGAAATTTCTGGGCACCGAACTTGGCACCAGCTCCATGAGGGTGCTGGATGTTGAATCGATTCCTTCTTTGGGTCCTTTGAACAGAACCTCAGGTGAACTGGCGCCCTTCCTGCCCATGGCACAAGTGTCACAAGAGTCTTTGGGGCCTCCGCCACCTTTCCTGCCACCGGCCGGACGGCCTGCAGCGCTGCCTGAAAGTCCCGGGTTGGGAGCACTGGAAGAGGTGCTGTCCGGCGTTCTAGACAGGCTCTTTGAGGCAGGGGCGGAGAGTTCGGCAAATCAGGTGCTTTTTCCATGGATTCGCCAAGACAGGTTGAACAGCGCTACTAGTAATACCCTGGTCTGTGGTACATATGGGATGGGCGATAAAGGGCTGTTCATCCTGTCTTGGAAGGTAAGAAGAGCCCTGAACGAGCTTTTCACCATGACGACTTGCAATGGTCCTGACCCTAGATTGACGGGCGTTTGAGATCCTGGTGACACCAACAGACCTGTTGTTACAGTTCACTTCATTGGGGACCTCCAACAGGTCCCGGGCTGAAGAAGCTGGTGTGTTGTGTTTTTCTTGTGTGAACCAGCAGTTCCACGGAGTTGGGCGCTGAACGTCACGAACGGAGGGACGAAGGGGTGCCCCTTTCACATCCACCCACTGGATGGGACGAACCATTCCTTCCAGCACCCTCATGTTCGATTGGTGGCTTTTGGGAGCAACTCCCGGTGGTGAACCTGGGCACTGCTTGTTGGACACGCAGGTGCTGAAAACCTCCTGTTGGAGGGTCCAGGTGTGCTGGAATTGACCCGTTGCCAGGTGATTTCGGCCTCCGGTGTCGACCCAGCGATGGCCTTTGCGGTCCTGGACCGAGACCAAAATGGCGTCATCGCTGTGGCGGAGATGGTGGCACTGCTGCAGCACTTGGGGCTGCCCTTGTCTCAGGATCTTTGGGCTTATTAATTACTGGCTTTTGCTACTCTTTGCAAACGTGCCAAACGTACTATAGTTGGGTATACTCTTCTACAGTAGCGGCCTTGAGTCATGGTTTAATTCGTCTCATCACGTCTCATCCAGGGATAGTCGATAGGGCTCTTCCCTGGAAGTCAAGTCATTTTTAATATGGGAACAATCTGGTTTTGTAGTGTAAACCCCTTTGTAAAACAATGGTGGTTCGGGATTCAGGCTATTAAAACAATGGTGGTTCGACTTCTGGGGTACTATAGTTGGGTATACTCTTATAGAGTCTCAGAAAGCTTGTTTTTCTGTTACCGGTGTTCAACGCGGTGCTTTTTTGTTACCTGAAACTCGGACCCAGCGATTTGCGACTTCCAGTGGACCACATTTGTTGAACAATTCCCATGTGATGTGCCATCGAAGTATTTGAGTTATTGCATGCTTGCATGGCAAATGGCAAAAGGAAAGCAGAGGAAAGCATAGGACACCGCTCCAAGAGCGCTTGGACTTCTGCTCCCTCACGGTCTGCGGTTTCACCCCACTTCTGCTCTCAGAGCTAGGAGGTCTTGGCTTTGCCCAGCGAGAGCTTTCTGGACTGGAACGACTTCATGCGAAGCTTCCACGCTTGGCATCAACGCCATGCACAGCCACCCCCACCAGGCTTCGGTGCTTCACCAGAGGAGATGCACGAGCGATGCTTGTTGCCGGACTTCTGGATGTTCGCGATCTTGCAGGAATGCCAATCCGGCCGGATTCCAAGTCACCTGCAAGAAGTGAAACGCATTTTTGTGAAGTGTTTCGGATGTCCCGTGGCCCCATAGGAATCCGCCCCTTTTCCTCGAGACATGGGTGATAGGGATATTTAGGCTCGCTCGCTCGCCGAATTGCTGCACTTTCAACGAGAAGGGTTTTAAATCTTAAGATGCTTTTTGGGTACATCTCAAGAGTGACAGCATGGCAGAAAAACGGGAACAACCTGGTGTTGTAGTGTAAAACCCTTAGTAAAACCATGGAGTTCTTCGCGAGTATTGAATATCTGGGTGGTTCTACCTCCCCTCCCCCCTCCAACCAGCCCTTTTCCGGTCCTCGCCCTCGCCGTCCTCGCCCCCATCCAGGCGACGGCCCTCGCCCCGCCGAGCGCGGCAACGGCGACGCGGCGGCCGCGCTGCGCCCCGCGACGTGGCGCCTCTTCGCTGCCGCGCTCGGCCTCTCCGACGCGGCGGCCGCGCACAGCTTCCGGCCACGGGGCGGTGTACACCGCCGTGTCGTGTGTCGTGTGTTGGCATTGGGCATGTGTGGAAGAGGTTTGGTAGTGGTCGCGGTATTTGGCGTAATTATTACATTGGTTGTTTGGAATTGGTGATGTTTGGTTGATTCAGTTGGGTAGCTGGATGGTCGATTGGTCTATGCCTGAACTTCTGAACTGTGGAGGATTTGTCCGGTTTCACCGAGCACCATCGCTGGCATGTCACGGATCGGCCTGCCTCGGATGTCTGGGCCCCATCTCCCCAATCCACGACCATTCATTTTTATCATTCACATTCATTTATTGTCTATTACCACTGTAAAAATATAAACTATTTCATTATTGTTTTTGGTCTATTCGTAAGCCAGGTGTTTACAGCCTTTTATTTAATATGAGATTTATCGGTTAATATTTGCTTTTACTTTAATTCATTTTAATATGAGATTTTAACCGATAAATCGCTAGGTAATAATAGATAATAAAATAATGGGGCCTTCGTTTTTTCAATCTTTCCCTCCATTTTTTGGCCCTTTTATCTAATCAGCATTAATAAATATAAAAAACGAAGGCTTCATGTCATTATATTATTATTCAATGGTAATTACTATTTTATTACTTATATCTCTTTATCTCTTATTTTCTTTCCTCTCTCCAGGGTTATTACTAATCTATATCTTATTTTCCTTTTATTAAAACCCTGGCAAATATATGGTTTTCTTTATCTCTTCTGAGGTTCAGTGATCCGCATGGCCTGGGCACCGTGAACTACCGGAACTTCCGGCGCTATTTGAACCGCCTCCAGGAGTTGTACTGCCAGCGGCACCCCGAACTCCAGGAACCCTTGCAAGTCCTGCGGCAGGCACTGCGGTTCAAGGGTCGCATGCTGTGCGTTCCTGAAGAACAGCGGTGGTTGCGCGGTATTTCGGAGAGCCGAAACAGGGTGCGGCGATGACATCCTTTCGTGCTGGCCGCTTTTGTTTTGGTTTGGGCTTTTGTTTTTCCTTTTGACACTGACACTGAGTGGGTCGTGGACAGTTCAGGTCTTCACCAGAGAGGTTGACGGGAGTGATGGAGTGGAGCCCGGGGAGGAGGGCGGTGTGCTGTGCTGTTTGGTGGACAGGCTTATCCTTCTTACCAAGACAGGTTGAACCGCCCTAACTATCGCCCCCATATGTACCACCTATCCCAGGGTCCGAACGTTCTGGTCTCTCTTGGTATATATTCCTTTTCTGGTGATGTGCCAAGGAGTCCAAGGAGCCATCCGGATCTCGGGATCAAAACAGCTCTAAAAAGCTCCTCCAACTGCAACAACCCGAAACAGAAATTCCCTTCGAAAAGAAATAGATTTGGATTGACGTTCACATCTATTTCTTCAATTCTATTTTCTTCTCGGTTCCTGACACCGGTTCCATCGGGCACCCCATCGGCCCCTAAACACACGCGCGCGCGGCCACAGGCGGCGCGCGCCCAGCTGGAACTCGTGAACGTGGACGACGCGCCACTCGCGGAGCCCGGGAAGACGGCGCAGGTGGTCGAGGTCTTGCGGCGCATGGGGCACACGCTGGAGACGCCGGTGACTTGCAGTGCTTGGGGAAGTGGAGAAGTCGAAGGGTAAGTGGAAGTGTCGTCCCAAGTCCAAGGTATACATCAATGTTTCCTAGATGCTTGGGCACTACACCAAGTCTTCAGGAAACTTCACTCGATCGACTCGGGAGATCCACCCCAACGCTCCGTGCGCCCTTTGTGCCGCCCCCGCCAAGCGTTCCCGAACCCGAAGCCATCGGCGACCGACACATCGATGGAGATGCTGGTGATGAGGTGACACTGCCCGATTTGCATGAGCTGCTCTTGGCCTTGCGTTTGCCACCTCACCTGGCTCAGCCCTTCTTGCGCTGGTGGCAGCAGCTGCACCACGCTTTCGTGTCCGCTGAAGCCGGTGGAGTCATGGAGCTGAAGCCGTTGTACTTGGGCTGAGCTAAGGTGAGGGTGAGTGCATAGGCAACTTGCAGGAACGAAACACATGGACCGAACCCAATCAAGAAGCAAGAACCTCCCCATCTTCTCAGCCACGAACTCCCCATCTTCCTTTCATCTTCTTCAAACCATTTCAAACCGGCGTCTTTTTCGGGCAGCTGCCCACATCCGGAGCGTGCTTCTTTTTTTTTCACCGCGTGTGTCGTGCTGTCTTGTTCACTCTGAGGAGCTATGGGAAGTGGCTGGCCATGCTGCGTGCCTCACGCGGGTGGCTTCAGACTCTGGGCGAGGAAAGCGCGCTGCGAGGCGCCGCGAGGCGCCCCTGGAGTTGGTTCCAAAACACGAGCCGTTTGGGAGGTAGTTATATACTACCAGGCGTCCCGAAACCTCCCCCAGGTCACCACCTGCGACTTGCGTTTAGGTCTCCATGTCTCACCCACCAATAAAAACCGGAGACCTGTAGTAGAGTCGGGTGTGCTGGTAGTACCAGGTCGGATGCCGTTTTGCTGGGTCGGATTTGTTCGGTTCATGGTGGAAGGTGGATGGGCCCATGGTTGCGGAACCTTGGCCAATGTGAACTCTGCAGGGTGAAAAAGGATTGAAACAAGTACCTCTCAAATTCATTTGCTATTTGATTATTATAATGATTATGATTCATATGCATGAAGATCGAGTCTTGACACTTCAGCGGCCGGCAGGGGGTTGAAGTATCAGAACCATCGGTGCACGGTTCCACGTCCGCCCCGCCCCGCCAGAAACGGATCCAGAGCCGCTTAGGGGCGAGGGGTTTCCAGGGGGATCCGCTCGTCCTTGCCACGGGTCGTGTATAGATGGATGTAGATGGTGTCGAACCCTCTCCATTCTTCCCCAAAAAGGACATCACGGTTCCCAACACCTTGACGTCTAGGTGATCCGAGTCTGGACACTTCCTTTACTTCTAATGGGGCCAAACCATAGTCGAACTGCACTTCTAAGAGCTAAGCTATGCCACTATGCTGAGCTTGCAAGAAACACCGATGCCATTCGTTCTTTCTTCCAGTTCGTTACCCGAAAGGTCTAAGGACCTCAGAGTACACTGGGTCCTCAGAAGAGGCCAAAAGCACCACACATCCAAAGGCTCCGGTCGCTCCAAGAACATTCGATTGGACGACCGGATACGACCGGTCCAGTCAACGGCGCCGAAGGGTCAAGCATCCAAGCCTGGCAGTCCGAGAAGACCAAAAGGGTTTGGTTGACCGTCAGACCTGGTTTAGTAGTGGACCTGGAAACACCTGCAACCGGAAACAACTGCTTGTTCCAATATGGCAATTTAAATTATCACGCACGACACATCGACACCTTCCAGAACAAAAGTCGATCCTTTCCAAATCGAATCCGAGAGGTATTCCTGATGTCGAATCTTGAATGTATAGTTTTCCCCTTTGGATTGATATTCTTATACGTCAAAAAACGGGGAGAGACTTTAGTATAGGACAATAGCCACTAATAGCACATTAAAAAGGTACAAGTATACCAGAACATCCACTTACGACACGCCGGCAGTGGGCGTGTGTCGAATCCGTCGTCGTCCGGCGACCACCGCACGTCCTAAGTCACTCCTGAGGAGTCACTTAGATGGCTTCTGTGGTGCATGCATGCTGGCGGGCCTGGACTTGCGGACGCTGCTGTGCTTCGCCCTCCGCCGCCCTACGCAGGCCTTGGCGGGCGAGGAACTGCTGGAGGTGGTGGCGGGCCAAGCGAACTTGTGGCTGGGACTGGGCCTTGCGAAGCCGGACTGGCCGGACGGAGTGGTGGGGGTGTTCGAGGATGAGTTGGGGCTCAGTTTTCTGGGGTTGAGATGCTTTGACCCCGGGTCGGGCTTCCTGTTGAGCGGTTTGATCCAGTAGAACCTGGTCCTGTGAACTGCGTCGTTGAGTAGTGTTCTTGATACGACCAACTCCAGTAAAATGAGGTCAAACTGACCTGTATAGGGCCAGGCTTCCAAGATCATTGAACGCATAGCCGACCTGGTGTGGTAGTCCCAAATCCTTATGATTACAACATATTGCTAATACAACCAATATCAAAGAATGATTGTTCGGTAAAAATTAGGCTCTCAAATCGGTCGTGGTTGAACACGCCTTCTCGGGGGTTTTGACGATAGGTGACCCGAGTCTAGGAAGCTTTCCGTTACAACCAGCTTTTGCGCATGACTGGACCGGAATGAGCTCCTCGACGTGTAGGGCACTGTAGGGTTTACTTCGGTCGCGGACGGAGCTGGACTTCGGATAGATGTTGGTCTGGAAGGAGCCACCTGGCCGGGGCCAGGTGGTTTCAAAGCCGCATTTCATGCATTTCATTCCTTTGCTGCACCTGTTGGATCGTTCATCCCCACATGTTTGCAACCTGCAACCCGCTGAGATGAGGATGACCGGGCACATGGTCTTCACGTTTGACTGACCAGTCGACTCAGGGTCTTCCCCGACAGTTGCTTCCCTTCATCCATCCCTCCCTCCCTCCCTCCCTCCCTCGCTCGCTCTGTGTCTCTGTGTCTCTCTGTCTCTCTGTCACTCTCTCTCTCTCTCTCTCCGAAGTCACTCGGATGGTCTCTTGGATGGGCTTGGTCCAAAGTGGACACTCGTTCAGTCGGATTTGGGGCCAAGCGGCTAGTAGCGCGGTCACGGATGGGGGATCCATCTTCCCACGTATACCTGGATCTTCCAATGGTGTCAAATTTATGCTTTTCCATCTATAAAACCAGCCAAAAGACTGAAATTTGGCACAGTTGGAGGATCTGGGTATTGAATCCTTAACACTTCACACGCCTTCAACCCTCGAAACCTGGGGGCTCGGACCGAAACTCGTCCGAAAGGCCGTCCGGAGCTCCGGTCCCCAAATCCCCTGGCTTGGCCGCAACGAAGGGGACTGGTCCGGACCTGGTGGAAGCCGGGCCGCCCTCAGGCAAGCGGTCGATTTGAAGGATGTGCTGTTGGTCTTGGACCCCCACGGGTGTAACCAGATCTTTGCTCCTGACCTGGTGGAAGCCTACGAGAAGTCACTCGGAGGAGGTATGTTGATGTCGGTGCACCGGAATATATGCAGAAATGGTTTCTTTTCGCTCCTGGCGACAGCCACGCTCGGTCGGTTTTTGGATGAATCCCATGCTCCTCGACTAGCCTCATGGCCCGGCCGGGAGTGGACGAAACAATACATAACAATACCCAAAGCATCGCATCCCGGACTGGAATAGTTATACATTGGGGTCATGTGAAGGAACTCGTTTTCATGTAACTATCGTCTGGTCACCTCGGTTGACTTGTGATCTTGCTTCCCTGGGATCTGAAAGTCGGTCCGAAAGGTCTTGCTTTCTTTCACTGCATTTTACATAGTTGGAAGATCTGGGTGAAACAATTTAAATCCATCTCCCGGCGTGCGGTGCTTGTGATTGTGCATCCCATGTGTTTGAACGCCTGATGAAGTCAAAGAAACCTTGCGTTTGCATCACAACTGGCCATGGAATTCTCTCTCTCTCTCTCTCTCGCTCTATGCACATCATCCTGGCCTGCATTTGCGTGAGTTGGTTGATATTGGTTGACAGTCTTGTCCAAACGATTGGACCTTCAGAATCTATACAGTATTGGTGTCCCTACGAACAGTTGCCAACCTCTTTCTATACATTTGATGGATCTTGATGGTTTTGGCCATCCCAGCTGCCTGAAGCCTCAACACCTGAGAGGTCCAGGAGGTTAGTTTTGTTGGCCTTCCAAGCCATCAACGTCCGTGTCGCTGTCGCCGGACCGAGTCCCACGCCGAGTCCGACTGCACCGGACCTCCCACGGCCGTTCCACCCAGGTTCCGCGGGAGGTTCGAAACCTTGCTGAGCACCATGGCCAAATGCATTGGCTCCAAATCCACCGAGCCCGATCAGCTCTTCCGGCGAAAGTCCTTAGCCGCCTTTGTGGGTGGCATCTGTCGATGAGAGGTCGTAGACTCCAGCAGGTTCGGTGTGGTGAACTGGGAACTCCCTGGAAGTCGACTATAGGAAACTTCCTCAAATCAGGTCCACAGGTCCTGTCTTTTTGGACTCCCAGGGTCACCTGGCTCACCTGGTTTGCAGGCGCAAGAACGATGCGAAAGCCTGTCTCGACGGGACGCGGTCTCTGAGAGCGAAGCAAAGACCCTCGCGATGGGAATGGCGTCCCCAGCCGTGGCCATCCAAAAAGAGGTGAGGACAGGAAGGTTTGTTCAGAGACGATCCAAACCCTGGGCGTCCGTTTGACCATCGGAGTTCGGTTGACCGGGTGTTGTAGTCTAAAACCCTTAGGAAAACAACACCCATTCAATGGTGGTTCGAATCCTATGGCAAATGCGCCTGGACCTTCCGGTTGGGGGTGGTTCTTTCTAGAGATCTAGAAGTAATTACTAACCTGCAAAAGCAATAGGCCCCCTCAAAAGCGATAGCCTTGCTGAATCACGTCCTCTGCTCGACAGTCGTACGTTTTGGCAGACATTGATCAACTGTGTTCTTCGGGAGCTGGTGGCCATACCCATCCCTTTGCTCTCCATCCGTTTTCAGTTTTTTATGCTTTGAGTGAGTTGATGTGCAGTTGATGTGCAGATGCCGAATTCCATGCAAGGCCAGAGTGAAAGGAGAAAAGTTCCGATTATGGCCGGATTTGAACAAACAGGACCTTCCAACAAGCAGGTTTCTTTTGCACCAACTCCACACAGGTGATGGGGTTCACCTGGGCATCGCCACTTGTAGTCCAAACACGCAGGAAACACGCCATGATGCACCACCTCCAACAGAAGGTCCCGGCGGTGCATCAAGGATGCAAATCTGCGATCCAAGAGAACTCACCGACGACTGGCGAAGCTTTCCGACGACTGGCGTGTTTCGACCGTCCCGGGTTCCCCCGGGCGTTTTCTGTTTGGAGATGCGGTGGAAGAGGATCGGGAACAACGAAGCGCACGTCTTTCAGATCGTATCCGATCTTCCAACGGTTGCAAGATTCTGCCCTTTTTGGCTGGTTTTATAGATCCCAAGGACATTCTACGTTGCATTGTTGGAAGATGTAGGCAAACAAATACCAGGAGCCGACTAAACCAGGTCTCCGAGTTTTGGTGGCTGAAGTGGAGACTGCCACGCAGTTGGTGACCTGGGAGATTTGGGGTTTGAATTTGACAGACCTCCCTGGCGGTAGACTATGGCCTTTCTTCCAGGTTTTCCACGTCCTTTTTGAGCTACACACCTGTAAGTATCAGGTGCCGACAGTTCCCAAGTTGGGTGCTATCTTAATGGAGGAAGTGGGACCCCAGAACACCTCTACGACGGGCAGAACAGCTTCATGGGACGAGCCACAGTCATGTAACTCCTGGCTGGATTTTTCGCTGAAGGGACACCGGGCCACTGCTGCAGTGCTGTAGATCTTCGAACGTATCAGCGCTGCGTCGTTGGTTGAGATGTGGATGTTCTTTTCCTCAAGAGGGGAGTGTGGAGCATTCCTTCCTCAGCAAGCCCCTTTAGACTTATCCCGGTCCTTCTACTCTGGTTGCTATGTACCCCTAGGGATCCAGTCGTACCTTCTCAGAAGGTACTTGGACCCTCCAAACCTACATAACAGTGCCTCCAATCACCGTACCTGAGAAGGTACGATTGGATCCCTAGGGTACTGTAGCTGGTCTTGTGTTGTTCATGTTTTCTTCCCTCGAAACTTGAGTGTCCAACAGATCGTGTAGATCTTCAACACGAATAACACAGAAAAAAACGCCAGCAGTCCTCGTCATGTTCGAAGCATGTATCAGAGTATCAAGTAAACCGTCCAAAGATCCAGCAAAACCTGATTTTGAACTCCCCCAACAGCCGTGGTGTTTGTTGGTGTTTTGCATGACCAACTCCAATTCTTAGAAGTACTTTGCCCCCAACAACGAGGTACTTATCCGCACTGATCCGCACTGCGCTGCTTCCGAATCTTTCACCTCTAAGCCACCCTCTAGCCTTCCGAGACGATACTTTAACATGGTTGACCTGGTTTGTAAAATTCTTGGGTTGTTCAGTAAAGACTATTAAATCTAACTAAGGGTTGTTGGAAGCCTAAGGGCACCCAAACCTGGCCTGGGCCTAGGCGTCAGATCACGAATCTGTGGGCATCTACGACGAATGACTCTGAAACAACATCACCCCTCTGAAGGGTTTCATCTTTCTATTTGTTCGACGCAAAAGCCAGCCGCATGTTTCCGTGGTCCTGGTCATGTTGCTTCAGAAGGGTTCGGATGTGACAGTTGATGGCCATTCTAGGCGATCGTTGATGATGGCCATCCATGTCCCCCTGACCCTTCTCGCAAGGCTTTCCTGTGAATCTATACCGCTTCAATTCCGCGGGATTCTCCCCTTTTCTTTTTGCTTCCTGCCAAACGAACAGCAAACCAAAACAGCCTTCCCACAATAGCATTCCCATACACCTCATGGGACTGGTATGCCTACATGGTTTTCAACCCCCGAATGGTCTGCAACTGCAGTCCACTCCAGTGCGTGGACATTGGCCAACTCCGGTCAGACCGCCGGTCAGACAGTCGCAGGCGCTGGCCAAAGCCACTGCCATGGCCTCCGATGCCACCGACGAGATGCGGCGCTTCGCCGAGGCGACGCGGTGACGGAGAGATCTAGATCTGTTGGTGGTTGGTCCTGGGTAACATCCCCCTTCTGGGGAAGATGTGTTTATTTTTCTTTCTGGTTCCTGAAGGAAATCCATGGAAATCCAAGCAAACCAAGGAAGGTTGACATCCCTTATAGAGGAATCTGTTCATTTTCAGGGGTTAACCAAGGCCCCCCCGCTTTGACTCACAGCCAAGTGAAGCTGTGTTCGGGTGAGGTGGGGAAGAACTGGGAAGAGCAGATGTGAGGCAAAGTTTTCGAAGTTTCTTGTGAAATGAAGACTGCGGCAGCTTGAAGATCAAACAGAATCGTTTCAACTATAATCAAGTATATCATCAATGATCTATTCATTCCCCAAATAGTGCTCCGCACTAAGGGGTTCTTACGGTAAGAGTTAAGCGGGTTCAGATCAGGGTTCGCGCGTGTGGCTGCGGCAGCGTGGGCCGGCTCGCACAAAAGTTACTTTTTGCATTCCTCATGTCCATTTCGACTGCGCAGGCTCGCATAAAGTGGTGGCCGCGTCTTTCGCGCTTCCGGGACAAAGCTCTCGTGCAGGTGCCGTGCTCGTTTTCGGACATGAAGTGCATTTTGCGTGGCAGGCGCAAGGAATTCGACACATTGGAGCCTCGAAAAGGTCATTTTACGTGGCAGGTGCAAGGAATCGGAGACTTTGCAAATTTCGTGGCAGGCGCAGTGTTTTGTGGACGTTGCAAAAACGTTGGCAGGCGTGTGTCATTCGCAGGATTGCGTTTCACGTGGCAGGCGCAGGGAATCCGCACCATGGATGCGATATTTTGAGGTGAAACGGGTGAATTCGTGAGAGGGGTCGCATTTTTGGAATTTGAAGTTGAGGATGCTTTTGCGTGGCCAGTGCAGCATTTCGTATGACCTGCAGGCATGATGTCGTGGCAGGCACAGCATTTCTGAAACGCATTTCAAAATTTGCGAAAGCCTCGTGCAATTTGCTCATGTTGGATCTCCGATGTGCAGATTTCGTGGCAGGCGCAGCACTTTGTGAATCTCGATGTGCAGCTTGCGTGGCAGGCGCAGCACTTTGTGAATCTCGATGTGCAGATTTCGTGGCAGGCGCAGCACTTTGTGAATCTCGATGTGCAGAGTTCGTGGCAGGCGCAGCACTTTGTGAATCTCGATGTGCAGATCTCGTGGCAGGCGCAGCACTTTGTGAAGCTGGATGTGCAGATTTCGTGGCAGGCGCAGTACTTTGTGAACCTCGATGTGCAGAGTTCGTGGCAGGCGCAGTACTTTGTGAACCTCGATGTGCAGATTTCGTGGCAGGCGCGGTACATTGTGAACTGCGAAATGCTCCTATGTACTCGCCTGTGTGCTCTCAGATTTGTGCTTGTATGTGCTCTCACATTTGTGCTCTCAGATGTGTGCTCCCATATGCTCTCATATGTGTGCTCTCATTTGTGCTCGTGAATCTCGATGTGCAGATGTTCTTGAAGGGTTTTGTGTTTCAATGAACTTGCCGTTTTGGAAGATGTTCTTTACACTACTTGGGATCCCTTGCCGGTGTAATTTGTTTGGCGGGTATCGGGTGGTTTGGATGAACCCCCCGAAAAGAGTGGCTCCCCTCGTTCCACACCAAACCACCGCGCCGTTGGCTTCGGCACCCGCCGCCGTTGGCTTCGGCACCCGCGGCAGGTGGAAGGTCGCCTGGCCGAAGCGGTGACCTCGATCTTGGTCGGGGAAGCGGCGGTGCTGGCGCGAGCCCAAGAAGCGGAGTCTCGGGCTGCAAGGGAACCGAAGCATGGCTCCAAGTGGTTCCTTAACCGATTTTCAGGAACCGAAGCATGGGGGGTGTCGAAAACTAGCGGCTAGAGCAAGCGGCGATTCGGGGTGTGGACACCGTGGAACGTTTGGTTATATAAGCTTTTCCAGACATTGAGGGGGTCAAGCAAGGTGGAGTTGCTCAACCGGGTGAAGAAAGCTGAGCTGGTGCTGGGGTTGTTTCCCTGCAGCTGTTGCTGGGATTGGTGTCCAATGTTTTTGTTGGGTCTTTCTGAGAGTTGATCTTTGATGAACGAAAGCACAGCGTTCACTGCAGTATGTGCACCAATCATATGGAGGGGTCTGGGGTTTCTCTCCAATCCCTATAGGGTTTTGAGGGACCGGAGAACAGCCGGGTTGTTTTCACTGGAGTCTTTCCTAAGCAGGCCGGTTCCGGGCTCAAGTACTAGCTCCCAGCCACTTGTTTCGGGAAAGACACACCAGGCTTCTTCACGGTGGAAGACCAGGACCATCCGACCGTTTGGGTGTCGATCTGAACGAAAAAAAAGGACACCTGCACTCATCCGGGATCCCCAGCCACACCTGGGTCCTGGATGATCCTGGTGATTGTAGATACACCATGGAGGTATACAAGGAAATCACTATTTTGGAGGTCGGAAGGCCTGTAATCTAATCATCATCATCCACTGTTATATACAGGGATTAGGATACACCCAACGTATACAATGGATTGAAATGATTCTATCATACAATATCCAAGGCCCAGATCTTTTCCTTTTTTGCAGGGATCACAGTGTCCTGCAAGAGTGTCTGCTACAAGAGTGTCTTACAAGACTGTCCAACGAGAGTGTCAAACAATGTTTGGCCATTTGTGTTCGAGTGCGTGTGTGCATTCGGGTTCGTGGGCTCGTCGTCTAGATTTTTTCTTATGTGCAGATGAAGATTGAGGTGATGAAGTCAACAGAACGACAGCAATCATGGAGCATTTATGGAGCAGTTGTGAAGCACCTAGTGATTGTCGCAGCCCTAGAAAACTAGGTCTCGGGATGTTTTTGTCCCAGGAGCTTCATGGCCACTACGTGGGCTCCAGTGCACAAAGCG